AAGATGAAGACCTTGCCTATTGCTATGACATCAGCCATCCACACACCCAGCAAACCCGGACAATGGAATGCAGACTAAATATATTTTACAGGAATAAACTGAAGGATTATGCTGGGGTATTTTCCCCTTAAGTCCACACAGAAGGAAATGGGTGTGGTGCCTTATCCTGTCAGGGCCTCTAAAGACCCATATGTGATTGGGAATGGTTTTGTATAGAAATAATCTTGCGGTTGGTATAAGTTTTCTCAAACTGGAAGGTGGTAGGAGGGATTTAATTGCATTCTTAAGGGCTTGGGTGTTTTGTGAGGAAGTTTAAATATTGAGTTTCCATTTTAAAGATGGTATAAAAAATCATCTTACTGGTTATAAAGAGATAATACATTTGTAGTGATAATTCACATCTGAAAAACTTTTTTTGTAGACTTTTCCTTTTTTTTCAGACTTCTCTCTTTTTTTTCTTTGTTCATTTGTTTGTTTCTTAAATTCCATATATGAGTCAAATCATATGGTATTTGTCTTTCTCTGACTGGCTTATTTTACTTAGTATTATACCCTCTAGCTCCATCTATGTTGTTGCAAATGGCAAGGTTTCATTCTTTTTATGGCTGAATAATATTCTCCTGTATATATTTACTGCATCTCCTTTATCCATTCATCAGTTGATGGACCCTTGGGCTGCTTCCACAATTTGGCTATTGTAAACAATGCTGCAAGAAATGTAGCGATGCATATATCTTTTCAACTTAGTGTTTTTGTATTCTTTGGTTAAATACTCAATAGTGTGATTATTGGATCATAGGGTAATTCTATTTTTAGCTTTTTGAGGCACCTCCATACTGTTTTCCACAGTAACTGCGCCAGTTTGCATTCCCACCAACAGTGCATGAAGGTTCCTTTTTCTCCACATTCTCGCCAACACTTGTTTCTTAAGCTTTTGATTTTAGCCATTCTGACAGGTGTGAGGTGATATCTCAGTGTAGTTTTGACTTGCATTTTCTTGATGATGAATAATGTTGACCATTTTGTTGTTGTGTCTGTCGGCCATCTGTATGTCTTCTTTGGAGAAATATCTGTTCATGTCTTCTGCACATTTATTAATTGGATTGTTTTGGGTTTTGGGGGATGGAGTTGTGTAAGTTCTTTATATATTTTGGATACTAAGGGCTTCTGTATTTTAAAGTAGTGTTTCTCCCACTGAAATAAGTGGGCATATTCTTGAGATTTTATGAGAATTTTTTCCCCTTGAAAAGGTTAATATAATTCTTAAATGAGAAATATCAGTCTTGTACATTAAAAAAATTTTTTTTAATTACAATATCTACCTATAATTTGGGATTAGTCTCCCTTTATCTCGGTTTCTCCATTAAATTAGTGGGAACTCATTCCCTTAAACGAGATGTAAAATCAGGTGAAATTAATAGGCTATTGCTCTTTTCAGTGGAAAGATGAGGAATTAACAGAGGATATTAATTGTTTTAGGCTTAAATGTAGTTCTTGAGCAGCAATGCACAGCACTTCAGAGAAGGGAACAGTTTGTTCTTATCCAGAAGGCTTGTGGGGTAAGGGAGGTGTGGAACAGAAGCTCAGAGCCAGTTGGTCAGCTCCTCTGCAGGGGTAGAACATCCTGGGCTCGATCAGCACAGGAAGCCTTGCCAGGAGCAGCAGTGGGGCTTCTGTTTTGGCCAGCTGAGCAGAGTAAAGCTCTAAGGTGAGGACTGGTGCAAGGAGCAGGTGAATGTGTGCGTGAAAGTACTGAGTACAGTGCGTGGCACAAAGAAGAGGCTCCCTACGTGTTCATTCTGAATCTTCAATTCAAATTTTGGAGATTTATATAGAACACTCACCTTGACAGGACTGTTGTTTTGATTTATATTCTGGATAAGCTTTTATATTACACTGAACCTAGCTTGGGTAGAGTCAAACAAACAGGTTCACATTTGACAAGCCTACAGTGGGTATCTACCATATGCCAGACACAGGTGCTAGGCAATTTTCTAGATGAAAGCCCAATCCTTCCCCAGTCCTCCAGTGTTCTAGGGTCAACTTGTCCAATAACACCCAAATAAATAACTGCAGTCCTATCTCATGCCACTCTGGAAACCCAAAGCCCAAAGTTTCTGGAAGGAAATTCCCATTCTCCTAGCACTTTCTGTCCAGTTCACTTTATACTGAAATGAAGATCCAGCCTCTTCTTCTACATTGTACCTCAAAAAATACCGCAAATCGGGTTGTTGTGCCCATAAATTGGATTCAACTGCTTCTCTAGAAAACTGCCTCTGCATTAGGATTTTTATCCCAAAGTCCAAGAGCATTTTTCTATTTTTAACTCAACCTTTAATTTCTGTCCCCAAGGAAGCCACCCTGCTTAGAAAGACAGAAGTCCTTGCTCAGGCCAAACTCTGTACTGTTGACTGTGCCTAGATCCAGAATACTAGACACACAGATTTATTTTGATGCTTATCAATGCCTAAATAGAAGTTAAGGATTATCAGAAAAGAGGACGTTGCCTTACATTTCAGATTTCACAAGTCTTTCTATTTTAAGGTCTTACCTCAGTTGTTTTATTTTGGAACATAAAGTATTATCTGGGTAAGTGCTCCATCAGTACTAATATTGGCTGCTTATAGAGGTCCCCTGATGCACTCACTTGAAAAGAAAGGAGGAAAATAAATTAACATAGATTTAGTCATTATTCCTGGGTATATGACCACACAATTATAATTAAACATTCTTGTAAACAAGTCTTTTAAGATTACTTTTCAAAGCCGTACAGTAAGTGGTTAAGTTTTGACAATCAGGGAAGTATACCCCTACTGAAGGAATGCAAAACAATACTGGCCTGCTATTATGTGAATGTGTGCTTGTGGCTTGCTTTGGGCTTGTGTTCAGCTGCATGTAATAGAAGCCTAACTACGATGGCTTCCTCAAAGACTCAATTCTTCTTATGAGGCAAGAAGTTTGGATATAAGGAGCTCAAGTCCAAATAAGGCAGTTCCCCAAATCCATTAAGAACACAGGCTCCTGTTCACTTTTCCCTCCCTGTCCTCACTGTGTGGTTCTAGTCCTTGTGATGACAAGATGACAGCTCCACCTCCCAGTTTCCTGCCATTTCAGGCAAGAAAAAGAAAGGAAGGGTTAGGACTAGAAGAGAGAGTCAAAAAAGTGCAAGCAAGCTGAATACCCTGTTCATCAGGAATTTTTTCCTGAAGACCCACCCAGCAATTTCTGCTCCCTTCTCATTGGTCAAAAGTTGAACTATGGTATATGGTCAAGTCTAGCTGCAAAGGAGTCTGAGAAGCTGAGTTTTTCTAGTGGAGCACATTATTCTACCCAAGCCAATTTGGAGTTCCATAGTTAAGGAGAAGAATAATGGCTGTTGGGAGAGGAATAAACATCATCAATAAGCTAGAGCATCATCGGAGGCTCAAAGCCTGCTATATTGCAAGCAGATTACATGGAAGTGAAAATGATATATTCTGGAAAACAGATGACATTAGTGATCTACAGACCAGGGCATTCAAACTTTAGAGTGCATAATAATTGCCTGGGAAATCTTGTTAAAATGCATATTTGGGGGGTGACTGGGTGGCTTAGTTGGTTAGCATTTGACTCTTGATTTTGGCTGAGGTGATCTCAGGGTCATGAGATCAAGCCCTGTGTTGGGCTCCACACTCAGCAGGGAGTCTGCTTGAGATTCTCTCTCTCCCTCTCCCTCTGCCCCTACCCCCCCATGCTCTCTCTCTCTCTCAAATAAATACATAAATCTTTTTTTAAAAATGCATGTCTGGTAAAAGGGGCCTGGGTGGCTCAGATGGTTAAACATCTGCCTTCAGCTCAGGTCATGATCCTAGGGTCCTGGGATCGAGTCCCGCATCAGGATCCCTGCTTGGCGGGGAGCCTGCCTCTCTCTCTCTCTCTCTCTCTCTCTCTGTCTCTTATGAGTAAATAAATAAAATTAAAAACAAATGCATGTCTGGGGAAGAGCTTGAGATTCTGCATTTCTAACAAACTCTCAGGGCATGCCAATACTGTTGATCCATGGATATTTGTAGCAAGGATGTAAAAGATGCATATGGAGAGTGTCAATAAAGTGGTTTATTGAGGGGCACCTGGGTGGCTCAGTTGGTTAAGTGACTGCCGTCAGCTCAGATCATGATCCTGGAGTCCCAGGATCAAGTCCTGAGTTGGGCTCCCTGCTCAGCAGGGAGTCTGCTTCTCCCTCTGACCCTCCCCCCTCTCATGTGCTCTCTCTCTCTCAAATAAAATCTTTGAAAAATGGTTTATTGATTTGTTAATAAATAACATGTCTAGGTCAGTGCATTATTTTGTATAGTATTAATTTAAAATATGTATAGCAGATTTAATAACCAAAACTGTATATGTGAACGTTTAAAATTGTCATCTACTTCAGTAAAATTTATGTACTCAAGATGGCCCCTTGAAACTTTAAAAATTAATCCCAATGATAAATTAGGAAAACAGCCTTTTATTTGGAGTTGCTTTCTAACTGGGGTATATTGAGTAATTTTATTTATTTATTTTTACATTTATGTTTTTAAAAGATTTTATTTATTTGAGAGAGAGCACAAGCAGGGGGAAGGGGTAGAGGGAGAAGGAGATGCAGACTCCCCGCTGAACAGGGACCCTGACTCGGGACTCGATCCCAGGACTCTAGGATCATGACCTGAGCCAAAGGCAGATGCTTAACCAACTGAGCCATCCAGGTGCCCCTACTGAGTAATTTTAGAGTCAAATACTCTCCTGGATTCAATACCTTACTCCTGGGGCTACTGTTTCAGTCACATTCAGTAAGACAAGCTATTTTTTAATACAGGTAGTAAGCGGGGGAAAAAAAAGAGATATGGTTCTTAACACAGACAAATCTGAGTTTTGATCCCAGTTGTAGAAATGATATATTTCTACATAATAAATTATTTCAAAATTTAGTGGCTTACCACAACAATAATGATTTATTATCTCATGTATTTCTATGGGTCAGGAATTTAGGTGTGGCTTGGCTGGGCAGTTCTGACTTGGGGTCTCTCATGAAGGGGCTATCAGATGTCCACTGGGGTTGATGTCATCTGAAGGCTTGAGCGGGGTTGCAAATCTACTTCCAGGGTGGTTCATTTGGTTGATGTTGGCTTTTCATGGGGGATCTCAGTTCCTCTTCCTAGGGCTGCTCGAGTTTCTTCACAGCATAGCAGGTGGTTTCATCCTGAGTGAGTAATTCAGAAGATCAAAGTTGAAGCTACAATTGTTAGCTAGGATGCAGCGGGAAGTTACTCAAATAGGAGGGTTGAAGGAGGGCAAGGGACAAAAGCAGGGAAAGAATGTATCTTGTTTGTTGTTTTGTTTTTTAAAGATTTTTATCCATTCATTTGACAGAGAAAGAGACATAGCTAGAGAGGGAACACAAGCAGGGGGAATGGGAGAGGGAGAAGCAGGCCTCCCACAGAGCAGGGAGCCTGATGCAGGGCTTGATCCCAGGACCCTGGGATCATGACCTGAGCCGAAGGCAGACGCTTAACAACTGAGCCACTCAGGAGCCCCGGAATGTGTCTTGTTTTGTAGAACCAACAGTTCCAGCCAAGGAGACACCCAGCTAGGTGTTTCACCTGATAACGCCTCATGGGAGCCAGTTTGAGCTGGACTGGACCTGAGGATCTGTACAGAAGAAGACAACCCCTTCTGAGTTGTCCTGAAGTTACTTTTGGCTCATTATAACACTAAGATCTCCTCCTATGGGCAGAGTTTTCCCCATTTTTTGAACATATGATGTGTGTACTAGCATGTTGACATGCTAAGCATGCACTATTGAACCAAAGAGCCTAAGCAAGCTCCCTGCCCCCACCCCTAATGCACTGAATAAATCTTCCTATCCTAACCTCATGGGGAAACAGTGTTCTGAGAGCTATCTCCCTGTCTCCTTTCTTGTAACAACAAGTAAAACAAAATTCTTTGCTTTCAACACTTCTCAGAGTGCATTCAATAGGATGGTGACAAACCCCTTGAGTTTAGTTAGCCTCTGAAGTCATACACCATCACTTGTACCATGTTCTACTGATTTTAATCAAATCAGCTCTGATTTTAATATGGGAGTAAACTACACAAGAGTGGGAATGTCCGGAGGTAAAGATCATTGAGAGTCTTCATAGACACTGGCTGGCTGTCATAGTTCAGCTCTGCCCATAGAGGAGGTCCCATAGACCCTCTCTGCACTAATGTCCTTATCTATAAAAATGGGAATTCATAATAGCCTCTAACTCATGAAGGTGTTTGAAGATGAGATAATATATGTCAAGTGCTTTTCATTTAGTAAGAACCCAGTATGCATTAGCCATAATCATAATAATAGCATTATCAACATTGTTAGATGATAGCTGTGATACTGTGATTTATAATAAGAAATATAAATTTGGTCTTCCTCTCCTACACCCAGCTTCTAAAACCCTTGTCATGTCCTAAGTAATCAGAGAAATGGGAGCACCTTTTGTTCTTTTGTACTAGTTCCCTAAATAGCTCCAGAGCAGAAAAGTAAAAGGAGTGTCTTTTGTTATTCACAAGGATGCCCTATCAACCCTGTCTGAGTTTACAGTCTCTGAAGTGGATTTTGGAAAGCCCTTAGATAATGAGAATGGTGGCTGGTTGCCAGGGAAACCAACTTTGTGACTAGAGAGTTTGAACTTTCAGCCAGCCCTCCAACTACCAGGGAAGGGGAGGGGCTGGAAGTTGAGTTAGTCACCAAAGGCCAATGATTTAATCAATCATGCTTAAATAAGGAAGCCTCCGTAAAAATCCCCAAAGTATGAAACCTGGAGTTCAAAGTGCTTCTGGGTTGGTGAAGACGTAGAGGTGTTGGGAGGGTGGTGTGACTGAAGAGGACGAGGGACCTCTGCCTCCTTCCCCCATACCTGGCCCTATGCATTCCATCTCTCCTACATTCAGCTGCTCCTGAGTTGTATGGTTTCATAGTAAACCAGTAACCTAGTAAGTAAAACGGTTTTTCTGTGAGCCATTCTAGCAAATTATCAAACCTGAGGAGGAGGTTGTGGGAACCTCCAATTTATAGCCCGTCAATCCAAAGCACAACTGACAACCCAGCCTTGCAGTTGGTGTCTGAAGGGATGGGGCAGTCTTATGGGGCAGATCCCTTTAATTTGTGGGATGACATTACCTCCAGGTAGATAGTATCCGCATGGAGTTAAATTTTAAGATGCCAGCTGGTGTTGGAGAACTGGTCAGTGTGAGAAAAAACTCCGTACCTTCGGTGCCTAGAAGTGAAGTTTTGAGAGTACTGGGGGTGGAGAAGGGAAACAATAGAGCTTTTTCCTTTTATGGCTAACCACCTTCCCACACAAAAACTGTATCTCTCAGTCCAGTTCACGGACAAGTCCATCTTCTGTCGGTGGTCATGTAGAAGGGTGGCACAGAGCCATTCATTCCTTGATAGATTCATAGCCTGTGAGAGCCTCCCATCTCTCACATGCCGCTGCCTGCCGTACAGATCACACACTTCAGCTGTCTTTATTGAACACCTTACATTTCGATGTTACTCCACCCTTTATGCCTTTGTACATGCTCTTCCCTCTGCCTGGAACACTCTGTCTCTCCAAAACGTCACGTAACATCAACTTATTCTTCTTTTCTCAATAAATATACTGATTTGTTTTCCTATGCATTCTCCTTTCTCTTTCTTCCATATTTTCTTTCATTCATTCAACAGGTAGTTACTGAATGTCACCCATGTACCGGGAAGAAGATTGGTCAACAAGATAAAGTGCCTGTCTTCCTGTAACTTACAGTTTGGTGAGGAGGAAGATAAGAAGTATCCTCCCCTCAAAAGAAATACAGAAACATATATCACGTGATGATAAGGGCTATGAAGAAATACTTACTGAGGTAAAGAGACAAACAGTTGTGGATGCAGGGGGCTATCTGAAGTCAGAGTAACTTAAGTAACTTAAATATATTTATCTTCCTTGTAGCCTGTGAAAACCTCAGTGTCAGACATTTATTTACCTCTGCATCTCCAGTACTTAATGTGTCTGGATCCAAGCAGATATTTATTTATTTAATATTTTCGTTAAATTTTTTATTGTTATGTTAATCACCATACATCACATCATAGTTTTTGATGTAGTGTCAAGCAGATATTTAGTAAATATTTGTTGAATTAAAAAAAAGAAAAAAGAAATGTATGAATAAATGAATGAATGAATGAATGAATGAATGTTAGATTCCAATATAAACCCCAGATGAGAAGCTTACAGCCCAGAGAGGTTTGATTTTTCCCAAGAAGAAACAGAGAGCAAGAAATAGAAATCTTAACTCTGAGAATACTTGCTTCAAGGACAATGCTGTTTTTACTGTGTCATATTATGCATGCCTAAAACATCTTTAATAATGCCCCATCTGTTCCTCTTTCAGTGTTGACTAGACTCGGCTACTTGAATGGAATTCTGAGAGCTTGTTTTTCCAGTTTTTTACTTAGTCTTCATGGAAACCATCACTGTTTACTCTTGAATCGACAAAGGGCTTTACCAAAGTCCCAACAGTATATTTGTCCACCTGGTCAAGCTTGGTTGGTCATAAGCCACACAGATTTGAAATGCACAGATCAGGAACCAAGAAAGAATACCCACTGAGATCCCCTAAGATTCTATTATAGAGGAAAAAGAAATCTGGGACAACAGTTCTCAAAATTTTTGGCTCAAGAAAACCGTCTGAAAAATTACTGAATACCCTGGATGCCTCGGTGGCTCAGTCAGTTAAGCATTCAACTCTATTGATTTCAGTTCAGGTCATGATCTCAGGGTGGTGAGAATGGAGCCCTGGGTGGGACTCTGTGCTGAGCGTGGAGCCTGCTTAAGACTCTCTCTCCCTCTCCCTTTGCCCCTCCCCCGCTCTTAAAAAAAAAATTGAACACCCCAAACTGCTTTTGTGTATGTGAATTATATCTATTGATATTTGCTGTATTAGAAATTAAAACAATAATTTTTAAAAATGTATTAATTTATTTTAAAATAACAATAAAAATGCATTACTATGTTAACATAAATAACATTTTTATGAAAACTAATTGCATTTTTCAAACTAAATACATAATGATGAGGGTGGCATTGTTTTATATTTTGAAAATCTCTTTAATGTCTAGCTTACTAGAAGAAAGCTGGGTCCTCCTATCTGCTTCTGCATTCAGTTTGTTGTGATACCACTCATCATTTGGCCTCTGGAAAACTGCACTGCACGTCCATGAGAGAATGAGTATGAAATAGTCAAATAACATTCTGTGCTTATTGCACCAAGAATGAGTATTCTTGGTAGCACGTGGCATGTGGAATTTTCCTGTTCATTAGATTTCACTGTAGCTAAAAGTCCCTTAAACACAGTTCTTCAAATTACGAAGATATTTACTTTATACCATGAAAGAAACAGAACAATTTTTTTTCTAGAAGGAGCTAAAGAGATCACTAAAGCTAATGAAAAAAAAAAGTAAACATAAAATAAGGATAAGAGAATACTCTTACTCCATGCATTTGCCAAACTGGCCTTTCTTGAGTCTTGCTCAAGTGATGTCTTTCTCACCTCAAGATCATAAAATTTCTTCTCTATGATCTCTTACTGTTAAAAATAACATTAATATATCTTCTAATATGGAACCAGCCTTGCATTCCTGAGCTAAACTCTACTTGCTAATACAGTGATGCATTTCATTTGCTAATACTTCATTTGTGCTTTTTACAGCTGGGTACCCAATTACAAACAGTTTTGTTTGTTTTTGTTTATTGTTGATGGTGGTATTCCAGTTTAATAGAATGAAGCAGGGAACTTTTCATTTTTGTGTATGTCTGGATTAAATTATCTGTTCCTTGAAGGTTTGAGGTAATCTGTCCACAAAACAATGTGGCTTGGTGACACTTTTGTGGATAAATGTTTGGCTCTAGAAATGTTTTTTTCTATTTTTCCCATAAATACTGGTCTATTCAGATTTTCTATTTTTCCACCATGTATGTTATCTTCTGTAAAGAAACACTGCATTTAAAATTTTAATGTCATAAAATTATATGTCATAATATAGAAAATGTCTTTATATAGTAAAGTCCTATATTTTATTTCTATGCTTTTTCCTTTTCTCTTTATCAGATTTTTCAAAATTGGATTCTTCAGTTTTTTTCTCTCTCTCTCTCTCATTTGCTTACTTATTAAAAAGCAAAGCAAAACAAAGTTTTAACTATTTTCCCCCAAGAAACAGCTGGGTCTGATTTTACCTGACCACTTTATCCAATAAATATGAATGTATCACCAATAATATGAAGACTATGCCTGTTAACTTACAAATATTGTCACTGAGAGGTCGGGCATTACAATATGTATAAGGATTACAGCATTTCTGATAATCTATTTTCTTCATCTTTTGTAAATTAAGCTTTGAGTTTCTGAAGCACATGATGTTAAACCCCTATCACCTACAATGAACTAAATTTAAGATATTACAATGTGTATAAAACAATGTATTTTCCTGGGGCCCCTGGGTGGCTCAGTCAGTGAAGCATCCAACTCTTGATTTCGGCTCAGGTCATGATCTCAGGGTCATGAGATCGATTCATGCATGGAGCTCCATGCTAAGCGTGAAACCTGCTTGGGATTCTCTCTTCCTCTCCCTCTGCCCCTTCCCCAGCTCGCACGCCCTCTCTCTAATATAAATAAATAAATCTTTAAAATAAAAAATAAAACCCTCCTAAAAAAAGAAAGGAGAACAAAATGCTAGAACTCATCAAACAGAAGTACAGGATGAGATCATCAACACAAAAGGGCAAAGTTGAGGAAACAACTGTTTCATCTGCGAGCACTCAAGGGTCTGGAATCTGTTCTCCTACAACACATAAACCTCATCTTATGTGACCTGTGTATTTTCCCCATTCAAATAAAGCCTTCATTGCCCACATGAATTTAGACTTCAATGTCTCTCAACAAGTCACAGAGGCACAATTTGACAGAATCAGCTCATACCTCTCCAAATGTTTTGTTTCACATGTTACTCCTGCAGAAGTCTGGTCATTTGATTCTCTTTATCTGAGAAAGGATAACAGGTTGTGTTGCAATGAGGTCTATGAATAAATATATAAAATGTGGTAATACTTGCTAATATCTACTAGAGACTTCTTATTTAACTATTTTAATCAATTCTTAAATCTTTCTTCAAAGACTTTATTTTTTAGAGCCTTCCTCCCTCTGGCACGCCCTCTCTTCCTTCCCTCCCATCCTCCCTCCCCTGAGGTAGACATCAGGACTTCTGGGCTGTGCTAGGTTATAAGCAAATTCTTCATCTAGATCTTTTTACCAACATTTTTTTTAAAGATTTTAATTATTTATTTGAGAGAGAGAATGAGAGATAGAGAGCACAAGAGGGAAGAGGGTCAGAGGGAGAAGCAGACTCCCTGCTGAGCAGGAAGCCCGATGTGGGACTCGATCCCAGGACTCCAGGATCATGACCTGAGCTGAAGGCAGTTGCTTAACCCACTGAGCCACCCAGGCGTCCCTTTTTACCAACATTTTATCTTCAATTTTGTCCATTCTTCTATAGAACTTACTCACTGAGTTTTTAAGTTTTCTATGATTATGTTCTTGATCTCTAAGAATTGTTTGTATTCATAATTGCATATCTTATTATATATGAATATATATATATATATATATATATATAATCTGTATTCCTCTTTTATTACACAAAGATATTCATTAGAACTACCTTGGAATCTTTTCTTCAAGTGTTGGTTGTTTGTTGGGGTTGATGCTTTTCTTTCCCGGTATTACTTAAATGGTGATTCTTGGTTGTGTGCTTAACTTTGTATCTGCGGTTCTGTGTATACATATGTGTGGATCTGGCTTCTGTTTCCTACAGCTTGCCTCCAGGGATTGTGGGGTGGGGCAGGACATGTGGCTGGAGGAGGTGTTCCAACAGGTGTCTTCTGTGTGAGAGTCCTTCCTATCCCTCTCATGAGTCAGCAGCTGTGCAGGGCACTGCTCCACTGTTTCAGACCTAGGGTCCATCGTGGGGTCAAGATCTACTGCCACTGCTTTGTGTAAATGGGAAAAAGGGGAAGGGCCAACCTGCCCAACTGTTCTGCACAGAATTCCCTAATTGATAACCATGACCTCCCTTTGCTCCATTGCATCTGCTGAATGGGCTTGCAGGTTCCTGGAACTATAGTTAGATCTCACAAAATTACTTATTACAGATTTCCATTAAACCACAACTATTCTTTGACTTACTTTTTAAAAAGGCAACACTATCTCTTAATCACATTCCTGGGGTATTTATTGATGTCACAGAGAGGGCAGAGTCATAGTTTTGAATAAAGCAAAGAGGTAAGCAAAAGCAAAAGGGCTAAATGCAAAGTCAGACTTCATTTTCAGAATGTTTTAGTGAGAAATTATTGCCATCATCAACAAAAAGGAAAACTAAGCACCACCTTTTACGGAATAGATCTTAAATATCTCTGTATAATTCAGGGGAGATTAAACGAGAGAGGAAAAAAAAAGGCATACGCTCAATAAAATTTATGTTTTTAAAGAAACCCAGGCCATTCAGATGATATATTTTTAAAAATTTTTAAATTTTGGAAAACAAGCCTTTTTACTGTTATGTAAAATGTTTAATGTTTGTTATAGCCAGAATATCATATTTAGGTGGGGTTGCCAGTTATCCTATATATAGGACATACCCCATACTTAATTATGTTGTCCTGTGTCCTATATTTGTCATGACACCTTAAGTACCCTGTATTCAGCTTTAAGAAATTACAAAATTCAGCAGTTAGAGCTATTTTTCTGCCACAGTAATTGGTGCTTCCATCACTCACATGGCAATACCAGCTGAAAACCATACCTCTCCAAACATGTGAACAATCTCTTATTGTCTCTCCTCCAGCTTTGGCTGCAGGGAGACCAACTGGGGGAACTCAGAATTAAAAGTATTTATTTTTCATTCTCAAGAAAAGACTATTCTTCAACCAAATTCCCAAGCTGTGAACAAGTAAGCACTGTTAATTCAAGTTAACTTTGTATCAGTGCACATGCTCTGAAAATCAGCCAAACAGCCAGACCCTCACTCCTCTGGCCCTGCTTCTGGAAAGCAGCCAGTTAACAGCCTTACTCCAAGTGTCTAAAAGTGAGCAACTCAGTAACAGCCCCAAGCTTCTGAAAGCTGTTCAATGATAAGCACCCCGACCCCATACTGAAAGTCAGCAATCTGTGACAGCCCATGCTTCTCCATAAGAGCCATTCAGAAAGGACCTCACTCCAGGAGCCATGCTCCTAAAGGTCATGGTTAGCTGGTCAGCAACAGCCTTCCTCCAGTGACCACATTAACACAGCTGAAAATCCTTCTGTCTCTACACATTCCCGCTTCTCAAAGCCCACCAGTCTTTGAATGCCAAGCTTCTCAAAACCTTATGTAGGATCAACTCTGGCTTTTTCAAGGAAAGTGTCTTTACAAGCACAGCTGACATGTGAACAATCTAGGGGTTAGGGGCGCCGACCCTGCAGTTAAAAATCTGTATATAACTTTTGACTCCCTAAAAACGTAAGGGCTAATAGCCTACTGTTGACCAGAAGCTTTACTGTTAACATAAACAGAGGGGATGGGTGGCTGGGGTAACTGAGTGATGGGCAGTAAGGAGGGCACGTGATGGAATGAGCACTGGGTCTTATATAAGGCGGATGAATCACTCATCTCTACCTCTGAAACCAACAATACGTTATATGTTAACATTGTATTGCTTTTGATGTAGACCATGCAGTTGTTTGGGCAAAGGTGCTCAAAAAGTTCATTCACAGTTGAAGAAAAGCATATGGATATATTCCATAGAAAGCATCAGCTGTCTTGCTCATATTCTGCATAATGCCGCTCGAATAGCACGTGATGTTCTTTATAATGACACTATCATGGCACTGTTACAAAACGGTTCCCTTACCTCAGCATTGGCATTATTTAAATCTCTCAAAACAGCTACTGGCTCTCTAACAAACACATGTGAAGGAATTCTCAGTTTATCGCTTGAATTATAACATCATACTTTAATTGTGAAGAAAAGGAATCCTACTTTGTGGCTGAGTTTTAACACAGTAGTCCCCTCCCCCCCCCTTATCACGGGATACATGGCAAGAACTCCAGTCTGAAACCCCAAATAGTACCGGATCCAATGTTTTTCCTGTACCTATATACGCACGATAAAGTTTAAATTTATAAGTTAGGCACAGTAAGAGGTTAACAGCAATGACTACTAATAAAATAGAACAATGATAGCAATATCCTATAATAAAAGTTACGGGAACGTGGTCTCTGTCTCTCAAAATATCTTATTGTACTATACTCACCCTTCTTGTGATCGTGTGAGAGGGTAAAATGCCCGCCCGCTAAGATGACGTGAGGGAATGACACAGGCGCTGTGACGTCACTGACGCAGCGTTGGGCTCCCGTTGACCTTCTGACTCCCGTTCGGTGGGTCATCCGCTTCCGGTGGGGGTTGACTACCTGGAACGAAAACTGGGAAAAGCCGAATCCCGAATGTGTGCGGGGGGGGGGGGGGGGGAACTGGCGTCATTTATCCAGTAAAAGCTACCGATTTCTTGTCAGTACCCTTTAATCACTTTAATTAGAGGATGATGCCAAGTGAAAGAAGAGCTACAATGTTTTCGGTGTACTCCATTGTTGAAAGGAACTTGCTGAGTGTCTTAAGGAAAGAATCGATGGCAAATTTATCCCTTTCATTACCAAAGCTGTTCCTAGAAAGGGCAACAGAACTTTTGAACAGGAAGAGGAATTCCAACTTGAAGTAGATAATGGCACTTGTTATAACTTGTTTTTTAAAGATTTTATTTATTTATTTGACAGAGAGAGACATAGCGAGAGAGGGAACACAAGCAGGGGGAGCGGGAGAGGGAGAAGCAGGCTTCCCGCGGGGCAGGGAGCCCGATGCGGGGCTCCATCCCAGGACCCCGGGACCATGACCTGAGCCAAAGGCAGACGCTTAGCGACTGAGCCACCCAAGCGCCCATAACTTGATTTTGAAGTCAGTATTATCCTTTGAAGAATTTGATTCTTTTACTGGATGTTACGAAATGTTCTTCCAGCATGGGACTTTGAGGAATCACGTGTATTGTCAAAGAAGAAGAAAATAAAAATGGACAACAAGCCTCTTTTATATCAATGGACAGTGTTTTAAAAAAGTTATTGATCAAGGGACGCCAGGGTGACTTATTCGGTTAAGCGTCTGCCTTGGGCTCAGATCATGATCCCAGGGTCCCGGGATCAAGCGCCGCATCTCCCAGCCTGCTTCTCCTTCTCCCTCTGCCTGCTTGGGAGCTGCCTACATTGTGCGTTCTCTCTCTCTCTCTCTCTCTCTCTCTCTCTCTCTGTCAAATAAATAAATAAATAAAATATATATATTTTAAAAAGTTACCGATCAAGAGATGCAGCCTAATCTTAAAGAATATAAGAACAAGTTATTGGGACACCTGGCTGGCTCAGTCAGTAGAGCATGTGGCTCTTGATCTCAGGGTCATGAGTTCAAGCCCCACATTGGATACAGAGCCTATTTTTTTAAAAAAATAAGTAAATATAAATATAAGTAAAAGCAAATTTTGCCATGAAAGATGGCATGTGCTTCAACAAATGAAATTTGAAGGACAATTATCAGAATTTTAGCTTTATATATTTAGCATACTGGCTTATAATGCTAATATTGAGCATGACTAAAGAATAAAATAAGCTGAATGTGACCACCACTGTACATGATATGTTACAATGTAAACGGAATATAGAGTGTAACCACAGGAATTTTATTTTGTTTTTTTCTTAAAGATATTTATTTATTTATTAGAGAGAGAGAGAGAGAGCACAAGTAGGGGGGAGGGCCAGAGAGAGGGAGAAGCAGGCTTCCCGCAGAGCAGGGAGCCCAGATGCGGGGCTCAATCCCAGGACCCTGGGATCATGACCTGAGCTGAAGGCAGACAGTCAGCCAAATGAACCACCCAGGCGCCCCTAACCATAGGAATTTTACAAGCAAATTTGGCAAAGCAAGCAACTATTAAGAAGAGCTTTATTTCAGATAAATAACAAATACTTTCATAGGAAGGTGTGTCCCATGCAATGTTTTTCATTTATCTAAATGTATAGATACATTTAAACAATTAGACACAAATCAGATTTAAATGGGCATCCTGAGTTTTTATTTGCTAAATTTGAAACCCTATATTTAGATCAAATTTAAAGTTTCATAGTTTTATTTTTATGTGTAATATTTATATAGTTTATAATAAATTGTAGCACTTTGTATACCAATGTGTACATTGTACTTTTACCCATTTTCTAAGTCTTGAGAACATTTTTTTTAACTGAGTTTTTTTTTTTAAGATTTTATTTATTTGTCAGGAAGAGACACAGTGAGAGAGGGAACACAAGCAGAGGGAGTGTGAGAGGGAGAAGCAGGCTTCCCGCGGAGCAGGGAGCCCGATGCGGGGCTCGATCCCAGGACCCTGGGATCATGACCTGAGCCGAAGGCAGACACATAACCGACTGAGCCACCCAGGTGCCCCAAGAACATTTTTTTTTATTGATTACACTGTCTTGTTGTTATTTTAATCTTTGTTCTTATGCAATATCATTAGCCATATTATTTTTTTCATAATAGGATATTTTTTAAAAGAGCTTTATTGAGAGATAGTTCACATACTATATATTCTACCCGTTTGGTGTACAATTCCATGCATTTTAGATATATAGTCACAGATACACAACCACAACCACAGTCAATTTTAGAACATTTTCAGCACTTCAAAAGAAACATTTACCCTTTAGCTATTGCTTTTAACCCCTACCTTCCCCCTCTACCACCCTCAACCCCCAACTACAACCAGCCCTGGGCACCACTAATCTATTTCCTGTCTCTATAGCTTTGCCGATTCTGAACATTTCATATAAGTGCAATCATATAATATGCTATCTTTTGTAACTGGGTTCTTTCACTTAGCATGATATTTTTAAGGTCATCCATGCTGTAGCAAGTATTAGTACCTTATTCCTTTATTCCAAGTAATATTCCATTGTATAGATAGATCACATTTTGTTTATCCATTCAGCAGTTGATGGATACTTGGGTTGTTTCCATTTAGGTTGTGACTCAGGACTGGAATTGCTGGGTCAAATGGAAACTCTTTAATCATTTGAGGAAATGCCAGTGGCTACATTATTTCACATTCCCACCAGTACTGTAGGACAGTTCTGATTTCTCCACATCCTTACTGGCCCTTGTCATTAGCTGACTTTTTGAATCTAGCCATTCTAGTGAGTGTGGAATGGTATTTCGTTGTGGTTTTGATCTGCATGTCTCTGATGATTAATGATGCCCAGCATCTTTTCATGTTTATTGGTTATTGTATATCTTCTTTGGAGAAATGTCTATTCAGATAATTTACTCATTTAAAAAATGGTGTTTATTTATTATTGAGTTGTAAGAGCTCTTCATGAGCCCAGCTATAATTCTCTCATCAGATATATTATTTTCAAATATTTTCCTCCATTCTGTGTGTGATAGTGTCCCTACAAGCGTAGAAGTCTTTAATTCTGATTAAATCCAATCCCTACAAGCGTAGAAGTCTTTAATTCTGATTAAATCCAATCCAATCCAATGTCTGGTGCTTTTTTTCCCCCATTTATTGCTTGTGCTTTTGGCGTTATATCTAAGAATGCATTGCCAAATTCAAGGTACTACAGATTTACCCTTCAGTTTTCTTCTAAGAATTTTATAGTTTCAACTCTTGCCTTTAGGTCTTTGATCCATTTTGAGTTAATTTTTATATATTGTGTGAGGTAAGCATAGTATTTCATTCCTTTTGCTCATGGCTATCCAGTTGTCCAGCACTTTTTATTGAAAAGATAATTATTTCTCATTGAATAGTCTTGGCACCCTTGTTAAAAACCAGACCAGCGGGCACCTGGGTGGCTCAGTCAATTAAGCATCTGCCTTCAGCTCAGGTCCCAGGGTCCTGGAATCAAGTCCCATAACAGGCTTCCTGCTTATCGGGGAGTCTACTTCTCTGCCCCTCCCCTGGCTCATGTGCATTCTCTCTCTTGCTCATTCTCTTTCTCTCTCAAATAAATAAAGAAAAAAAAAAAAAAACAGACCAGCTCCTGAGAAGTATGGGGGAAAAATTGTAGGATGAGAATTGGATCTTAGGGAGAGGTTGCCTTGAAAAGATCTGTAGATCTCCACTCAAGAAGACAAGACTGGCCAATCTGCCTCCAAGTGGGCCAGGAAGTCCTGCTGGACACCCTGGGGCAGCTGAACAGGGCACGTCCCTCTCTCTTTCCCTAAAAAACACCAGACTTTACTGGTGAAAGGAAAGGAAGCAGGAAGCTCCTCTCTGGTGCTTGACCAAGGTAAGAGTCAGGATGATGAAGGATAGTTGAAAGCCAAGCAGGCAGGGACAAGGGGCACCCCCCCCCCCGCCCCGCCCTAAGAGGAAACCACCCTTTAAAGGATTTTACACCACCCTGGAAGGAGCCCTCCAGCCTTTCCATGTGATACATAGGTGACAAAAACCTGATTGGATGACAGGCGCAGGGAGGGCTAATCAGATTAAAACAGCCCACCAACAAGCCCATAAAAACCCCTAGAGTTAGAAATTCCATTGGCAACCCTCTTGGGTCCCCTCCCTCCTCGGAAGCTTTGTACTATCATTTTGCTATTGCTCAGTAAAACTTGCTTTGCTGCCCACCACTCTGTCTGGTCTACCTCTTCATTCTCGGAAGCGGCGTGACCAAGAACTGTGAGCACTGATGGAGAAAAAAATCCTGTAACAACGGTTTGTCTGCTTGTAAATCACATGTCTACCCCTGCATCCACAGTATCACAAACAGCTTTCCCTCTGCTTAACGCAACTCCAGAGCATGACGGACCCTCAGGGGCAGATAGACCCAAGAGTAAACAAAGAAATGGTCTTAGAATCTGGATGAGCACTGAGAAATGTACATAATTGTTGAATCACTATATTATACACTGTCTATACTAACATAACACTGTATGTCCAATATACTTGAATCTAAAAAAGAAAGAAATGGTCCTAGGCAACCCAGAAGCCAAAAAAAAAAAAAAAAAAACACCCAATAACTCACAGAAACACCCAGAATTGGGTTAGCTTCTTCTGCCCTGTTTTCCAGAAGGGAAAAAAAAATACCTTTATAAGTATTTAAAAAATAATAATAATAATAAATAAGCCCTCACTCAAGCCTCTCTGGGCTGAACAAGCATTATTTTGAAGCTAAGTTATTCAGTGAAAACATAAAAAGGGAGGAAAGATGAAATTGAGAATCTGATTAATGGTGTGGTGGTCAAGCAGAAGAAATCTCTCTCTCTTTTTAAAGATTTTATTTATT